GATAAATTAATGGGCTTTTCTTTTTCTTAATAGGTATGAAGACTATTATTACTACCCTCCGCCTCGCATGCCACCTCCTATTAGAGGCAGAGGCCGTGGAGGGAGAGGTGGATATGGCTATCCCCCAGATTACTATGGCTATGAAGATTATTATGATGATTATTACGGTTATGACTATCATGACTACCGTGGTGGCTATGAAGATCCCTATTACGGCTATGATGATGGCTATGCTATAAGAGGAAGAGGAGGAGGAGGAAGGGGTGGGAGAGGTGCACCTCCACCACCTAGGGGGCGGGGAGCACCACCACCAAGAGGTAGAGCTGGCTATTCACAGAGGGGGGCACCCATGGGACCGCCGAGAGGAGCCAGGGGTGGGAGAGGGGGTCCTGCACAGCAGCAGAGAGGACGCGGTGCTCGTGGAGCCAGGGGCAACCGTGGGGGCAACGTAGGAGGCAAGAGAAAGGCAGATGGGTACAACCAGCCTGATTCCAAGCGTCGTCAGACCAACAACCAGCAGAACTGGGGCTCCCAACCCATCGCTCAGCAGCCGCTCCAGCAAGGTGGTGACTATGCCGGTAACTATGGTTACAATAATGACAACCAGGAATTTTATCAGGATACTTATGGGCAACAGTGGAAGTAGACAAGTGAGGAGGGATCGAGAATTTTGGAAACATAGAATTGGCTATAGCTCTACATACTTCAAAACAAAATTGGCTTAATGTTTCATCCTTCAGTAGCGATTGGCTGCCATTTGTATTGGGCTGAAGAATCACTCTATTGTGTATATACTCGAGTCTCTTAGTTTTCTTTTTTTTTTTTTTTTTTTTTTTTTTTCATAAATGCACTTGGACATTACTGGGCTTGCAGAATTCCTGAACTCCATATGGGGTTTCAATGCTTTTATCATTTTAGGCTTCATTTTAGCAGTTTAAAAGCAGGAATGGCACACTGTTCAATCATGATTTTGCAGAACCTCTGGTTTTTGGACAGTTTTTTTTTTTTTGGATTTGGGATAGACTACATAGGAGTATGCTGTACATAAAAGTAAAAGCTAGTGCTTTGTCTTAGTAGTTTTAAGAAATTACGACAAATTAAGTTTTCTTGTATTGAAAATAACATGATTGTATGTTTTGCATTCCTAGAAGTAGGTTAACTGTGTTTTTAAATTGTTATAACTTCACACCTTTTTGAAAATCTGCCCTACAAAATTTGTTTGGCTTAAAACGTCAAAGCCGTGGCAATTTGTTCCTTGATGTGATTGTATTTCCAATTTCTTGTTCATGTAAGATTTCAATAAAACTCAAAAATCTATTCAAAACATTACCTATTTCAAATTCAATTGTGTCCTAAAACATTATTTCATTGGTAATTCTTGCGAAAAACATTGTTTTCAAAGTATAACTGCCTATGTGAGTGATCAAATTCATGCAAAATTTCTTGTGCTTTCCAACATGTAGCACTGTGGACATCAGACTGAAAACTAGGAGAAATTACAAATAGCCTGAAGGGCACTCTTTGTTTAATTGCTGCTCAGTAACTTACCAGCATCTAATTTGGGAACTTTATTTTTTTTGTTTTAAGTGTTGAAATGTACCCAAACATTCATGGAAATCTGATTCAAACATAATTCTCTAATGTGGAGAAGGAAGCAGAGCCTACAATGGTGTTAATTTTGTTCCTTTTTGTTATGTACTGTGAAGTCCCTCTAGAGACTATTCTGTTAGGATCCAACCATATTGTATTCCGTGTACAAATACACAGAAGTGGTTTTGATCTCGAGCATCTCAATTTAATTAAAGATAATATTTGAGTAGGGATGAGAATTGATAAGCTAGGTGCTGTGGCACAACAAACTTTTTGCTACAGATAACACAAACATACTCTCCATGTTCTCCGTAATTCTACCTTGATGTTTTAATTTGATGTTCTGCCATGATGAACAATTTGCCTTAGAATTCTCATGCCTTGTAATAAAGGCTGTTTAAAAATTACATCTTATCTTTTGGGGAGATTCCTAGCTATGTTATTTTGGGGTATTATGTGTTGCTTTTATTGACCTTTGTCTTGGACATTCCCAGATGTCAATTTTAACTGGCGAGTCATGACATTCTTCTGTTGCATCCGAGCCATTCTGTACCCCAATGAAGAACATTTGCTTCTCAAGAAAGAGAAACAAAAGGATTTAATCTTTCTCTAAAGAAAACTATTGCTGGACCTCTAAATATCCAAATCAAATACGTTGCTCATACTCGATTACAGCATTATAAACAGACTATTGGGCAAGTTAAGCTTCAGTGGTCATACTCCTCCCTTTGTCTTCTATTCCTGTCTGGTGTCTTTGAATTGTATTTTGTCAGAAATGTTAACAAAAAGATGAGCCTTCCCACCTTTACTTGTTGTGGGACTGGTATATAATTGCATGGTTTGAGTTTAATTGAAGCGAGGATGGTTCGCAAAAACGGGTTTGCCCCTTTCTCAGGCTCTCCCTTTCAAATTAATGTAACTGGTTGTTAATTTAAAAAATGCTTTCCAAAGTTAGTATTTTAGTGTGTTAAAGCCTTTTTTTCTTTTTGTTCTTGTTTTTTATTTCATAAAGTTAATGGGGCCAAATCCTGTCCTCTCTGTTCCTTACTTGAGCAGTGAAGTCAGAGGGGTATTGCCTGGGTATGCGTTTCAGGCTTTTGCTTGTGGTAAGGATATGGCTTGTAATTTTGTTTTGATACAAGGAATTGCTGTTCTATTAGTATGACTTTATAGTAATTACATAGACTTCGCAGTATTGATCAGAACCCTGTAGTCTATTAAGATATGCATTAGTCATTGGGAAGGGGATCTGGCTTAGGGCACTTTAATTGGATTCAAATTTTAAGCACTGTCCATCCTGGAAGAGAGGCAGTGGCTTGCAGAGTGGATTTCCAGTGATAGCCCAGGAGAGATGAAGCCCCAGTGCATGCTTATGGGGGGAGGGAGGCATGGGGAAGTGAAACACTTCAGTTCTAATGTTTACAAGGCACCTAAGTAACAAAAATTGTGTTCCTCAAGAACTGTAAAGCTGCATCTTGTATTTGTTTCTGCCAAAATCGCTAATTATCCAAATATTTCTATTGAATATGACAATTCTCTACATTTTTATATCTGAAAATGAAAATCCGTAAGAGTTTATATTTATAGCATTACCAAGTTCTGCAATTTATGTGATTGATGGATACTTAAGTTCACCTCTTAAATTTGCGACAGCACCCCACTGAGTCCATAAAGATCACGTGTACTCCAGCTTAGTCCAGTAGTGATGTACCATGAACTCAGCTTATCCAATGAAATTATCGGGATAAAAAAAGGGGCAAAATGCTGTAGCACAGTGGGAAAATCTACTGTACGTGATGAGAGACACTCGAGGGAAGAATCTTCTCAGCACAATTCTGATACATAGTCAAAGGAAAAAATAAATTTACTCTCATGCATCTGTTTTGATCTTTTCTTCAGTATAACTTAGCAAAATTCCTCTTATTAAGTATGTTGAAAGTGGATTTCAATTTGTAAGCCAATATTAAACTTCTATCAGTGTCCTGCTGGCATTGGAGGAGGAGGAGCCATGAAATGGGATTGTAGTAATCATTTGATCACTCATTTATAGCAGTTGCTTAATGTCTGTATTGATGTTTGATTTATAAGTAATAAAAAAGTAGGTTGCTAGATTTATAGCAATTCCAAAACTGAGCAAAACATTTTACAGCTATTATGTTGTTGTAGGCTTACTTGCGCATTATTAACATCATCAATTTACTAAATTCAGCTCTTAATTTTACTAATTCGTTAAGTATAATCTGCATTTTCCAAAGTATTAAAAGGTTTGTTTATTTTTTTGTAGCAACTGTTTACTTTCAGGACTCATCATCTATAGTATAATGATCAGAAAGAATGACAACTGCATTGCTTAAAGCTTTTTCTAAATAAACTCTCAAGTCTCAGTAGAAGTTCACCATTAAATATTGGTGACTGTAAAACCCTGACCATTTTTTGACCTCTCTGCATTTGGACTTGAAGCCCATTTCTGTATTTTGAACTACACAGTAAAAATACAGAAGACACTCTTATTATAAGGCTAGCAGGAAAATTAATTGGAGGTATTGAGCAAAATGTCTTCAGCCTCTTAGAGAAGAAGTGTTTGGCACCTGGGCCTGCAGACCCTGATGTAATGTATTAACTCTCAGCAAGGCTTAATAGTTGTCCACAAATTAAGAGCCTGGCCCTTGTGTTGAACAGCAAGGACCCAGTCCTGTGTATTTTTCCCAGGCAGTCTTTGGGTCATATGTGAGTGCTTAAGGGATGAAGGATTATTTGCATATTGAAAGTATGCCAGATTGGATTGTGGCTACTTGATAGCTCAGAGCCTTATAGAAAGAGTGTACTGAGTTGTGTTTCTTGTTTATTAAAAACAAACAAAGCAAACAAAACTCCCCGAGAACTCTGAGCTTCTGTTAACTTAGTATTGAAAGGAAGCTGTTTGGGTGCAGTATTTTGGCTTAAACCTTTTTGAAACCAAGTAGCTATGTTTTGTGTAATTTAGTTAATGAAAACTGTAGAGAAGGAATGAAAAATCATTGAAGGGGATCTTCATTTCTCACCCAAACAAAACAGTCAGGGTGTATCTGCAGCGTTTGGTTATTGATCAGGAGCTCTTGAAATTTGAGAATAGAATAATCCCACTGAAGAAGTTTTAAAACAATCTGGAGGTTACCAGAAGCTCTGAAAGACAGTTCAGAATATATTGCATCACATTTTCTGATGTCCAGAAATGTGCAAGTGTCAATTTTGTATTTTAACTCCTTCCTTTTACCTGACTATCAGGGAAGCGTGATTGAGGCTGACCTGACATGTCATGATGTCGACTTGCTAGGTGGGGTTCGCAAGGGACATTAACCTTGGAGTTATCGGTAAGACAACTTTCTTTCTAATTTACTTTGGTGAGATTAAAGGGCTTTGGGTGGGAGGGGTTGGCCTGGGGGGAGGAGGTAATCTCCACAGCCCTGATCACTGGAATATTGTTGAAAATCTACTTCTGCCATGGAGAGATTCCAAGCACTGAAAATAAAGTGACTGGTGCTTCAAGAGAAAAATGGGTGGTGCTATTTTAGAGATGCTGGAAGCATAAATGGTTTTGAACACTTTTTTTTTCTTCTGTAATCAAAGCCAGATGTATATATATATTTTTTTCCTATCATGAGAAAGCAAAGAACTTAGAGCACACTTCTTCAAAGTCTTAAGAATGCTGTAAAAATGTGTCCAAGTAGATCTTTGCAATAAAATTTTATCTTGAAAATGAGAACCAAAACTGGCATATCATGAGTTTGGATCATTTACCTTCTGAATATGACAATCCTATCATGTAACAGTTGTGAATGAATTTCTGATAAACTGAGGGGCACTTACAGCTGGTCCCAGTAGAAAACATCAGGAGAACAGGACTTAAATTGTCATAGTTGTTTGTTTCTTTCTGGGTAAGGTGTGTTATGTGTATTATAGGCAAATAGCAAAAGCTGAAGATGGATTTTGGAAGCGTTGCAGATGAAACTTAAAATACTTGGGCATCTTGATAGAAGGAGTCCCTCATGGCACCTGCTTACCTTGCACATTTCTTTCCTCCGCCAGCAGGGTTGAAACTTTCTTTTCCTGAGTCCACGATGCAGTGCTTGGAAAGGAGCAGAGAAGTTGAAAGAGCTTAGTGGGCTATAGAAGGATTTCCAGTTTAGTCACTCGTTAGCAAGAAGTTGAAGGGCATGCCAGTTCTAGGAACGACATCGATAGAGAAGAAATGTAACTGGTTGGGTGGAGGTATCTATAATAATTTCTGGTATGAAAATATATTTAGTTATTCCCAGGTGTACCTTGCTTGGAATACATTTCTTTGATAACACTCTACTGCACCCAACTTCGACTGCAGAGAAGTTATTCTTTACCCTTTTTAATTCCGAGTAACGAGTGTGAAATGCACCAGTACCTGCTTACATGACAGTATTCCAACATACCTTGAGACATTTCAGTGTGAGCATGCAGTGAATGCATACCTAACCTGCATTTTAACAGGATGTGGAAGTAACGTAGATTTTGTGACAGGAAAGAAAATTTAATGTGGGAGAACATTCAGCTGTCTTAACAACGAATGCTCTCTCTTTCAGTTCCTTGCTGTGCTTACGTTTCTGCAGGAGTTGAAGCAGTGAAACCGGCACAGACTGAAAGAGCTGTGTTTAAAAATAGTTCAGGTGTGTAATTAAGGCAGAATCGTAATGCGTGCACTCAGAAGAACTGGATAGAAGTTGTAAAAGCAGTAACTTTGATATTTTGATGTTTCCTGTCTTTGCTTTCTTTAACCAGTTCCTGGATGCGTTGTTGGTTTGCTTGTTGTTAGGTGTGATCTCAAACCCTACTTGAATTTAGTTTTCAAATACAGTGTGTTATGAGTGAGCAAAAAAGTGCAGCTCAATGCTGGCAGCAGCTGGAGAGCAAGCACCAACGTGTATAGGAATGCCATTTTATATTCCATATCTGTTTTATAAGACCACAGATTTTAAACTCATCCTTACACGTTTTCACTCAAAACCAGTTGTACTTACGTTGTTCTTTCTGTTGATGTGGATGTGCTTCATCCTCGTTTTTGTTTTGTTCAGTGCTTGTAGCACCTTATCTGCAAGCATTTAACATGCTATTTTGTGGAAATACTGTTGATTTCAACAGCCAAATCGTTTCAGTTAATACAGTTTTCCCAGGGAACTTTGATGAGGAGATTTGTTCAGTGTGGAGAATTCTGCTTTGCTCAGAGTTTATAAGCAGCCAAAAGGAGCCCTGTAAGTTATGTTTGACAGGATATATTTTCGTTGCCATCCACTTAGTTATCAGTCATTTTCACCTTCGCTTACCCAGTAAAACCAGGATAAATGATTCTTCCTGTGAGACAGCAGATGAAGACTGTTCGTATTCATCGCTTTATTTTCACTCTTGCCAATCATGGCATGAAATGCATCCTAATCCTCCTGTGATTCCTGTCTCATTGTTTCTGCTTGGATTGTTGCCTGTGACTGCATTTCAGGTATTTAGGTTGTTTGGAGGCGAAGGAGCAGCAAAATATTTTCTGCTTATCTTTTTGTTTTGAACATACTGGAAAGGGAAGAGGTCCAGGCCTTCTGGAAAAGTAGAGAAGCCACGGTGCTGAGGAAGTCTGAGCCTGCAGCTCTTTGCCAGAAGCTGTGAGAGCTCTTAGTTTTGAAGACTATCCTCTTGTCTGCCTTCAATATAAACCTTACCAGAAGAGAAGTGCTTGAAGTGGGCTGTTCCTCCTCATCAGGTCTTTGTCCCAGAGCTTTTCTGTGGTCTTGCTCTGAGTGGGAATGTACTCAAAACCTGCTCTGAAGGTCAGGATGCACTCCCTGAGGTGGATCTTTTGAGTGCTAAGGAATAAAATACTCCTATTTACAGTCAGAACAATCTGTTCCTTTGGATGTCTCAGAGGGGCTCTGAACGTTGCACATCAGGTGAGGATAACTGTGTCTGTCATCCAGCTGTCAGGCCTCTTAGGCAATTCCACATTCCCTTCCAGAACTGAACTCAGTTGTTTGATCCAGGTGTTCCATGTTAGAGAACTATTTGTGCAGGAGAGGCTTTGACATCTCTTTATCTTTCTAATACGTAATAAACTTATGGATTAAATAAAATCACTGAGCAAGGATGTGTGCAGAGAAAGCTACACCTTCCAGACTTCACAAGGCTTTTCAGGTGTGAAAGGCAATTCTGAAGAATAGAGCTTCTCCTTCCACAATTTCATTGGAAATGGCGTCAAGTATTCTTTTAGCAGCTGGGCTCAAGCTTAAGAGAGAAGCAGCAAAAGAGCATCAAATGACTGGCTACGTAGATAGGTGTTGCTGAAAAGAGATGCAAACATGCTAGCACTTGAGTATAGTGGTTTTATAGTGGATGACAAGATCTTAGTGCAAAAACAGCAAGAGTGGGTTGATTCAGCAAGCAATGCTTGAACCCTAGTAGCAGTAAATGCTTTTCTCTTACTGTTCTGTCCCATTCCTCCCCCTACTCCATCAAACGGGAAACAGTAATAATGGATTTTTAATTAAATTTGAACTTGTTGAAGGAATACATTGAGAAGTGCTGTTGTGTTGCAGAAGTTTGAAGTCTAGTTGAAGGCTTAGAGTCCAACTCAAGCTGGAATCACCATCATTCTCAGAGGTGGTGTTTAGAATGTTTGTTCCTTTAATTTGCTAGTTTTCACTTAAATCTTTTACATCAATTCATAGTTTTCTGTTCTCTAATAATATAAAAGCCGTAAATTTGGGTGCTGTGGGATTGTATGATGACACTTACTGCAAGGTAGAGGGTTTTGACAGACTGAGAAAGATTGCTTGTTTGGTTTTCTGTTTTTTGGTAGGCTTGTCTGTTGTGAACTGACAGCCATGTATTTTCAGTTACAGCTGCAAATATGGCATTTTAAGCATAAAGGTTTTCTACTGATCTGGACTCTCCGTGTTGTTTGTATCAGGGTTAGCTATGAAAGGTTTCTACTGCAAGGTATATACAGGGTTTCCAGAGAGCCACAGCTTGGGGAACCCCTGCAGAGCTCCCAGAGGAGGATCATGACAGTGACTTTGGGAGTCCGCCACTCTCACTGTGACGCTTTCTTCCTCCTGTTGTACTTACGTCTGCCTGAACTCTCAAGAAGGAAACTTCAGTTTGTTAATAAACCCTTTCCTCACCAACCAGGGTATGAATACAGCTAATTTAATATATCCCAAGTCTGTTTGCTTTGCGTTTTTGTATCACTGGGAGGCAGCGATATGAAAGCAGTGCGTGTTGAACTGTGCAGCTTGTAGATTCTTTAAGAATCTGTCTTAAAAATACAGCTGCAACAGGAAGATGGGAAAGTAGTTTCCAGGAGTGAATAGAACTGTGAGTACTGCTGAAACACTACATTGTCTTCAACCACTCTGTTCCTTTCAAAGGAATTGTAGTGAGCATCATTTACTATTCCTGTATACTCAGCCATTATTCTACACTAACTTGCTTTTCTACTTCTGTGCCTCTGCATTTTGGTTTTTCAGTTGCACGTTATACGTGTATACTCTGTGGTTGATGCATGTTCTTCCCTTCTTAATGCCATATGTGTCTTTTGATTAACTACTGTTTAAGTGATACAGAGAGCTGCACATTTGCTGAATCCAGCATACTAGGAAAAGAAATTGTAGTTAACGTGCCTAAAAAGGTATACAAGAACAGCCTTACTGAAAATACTGAAAGAACCCAGTTCTTTTTGTTTAGTAGAATTATGGATAATACCATACCTTCCTTTATTTGGCCAAATTGGGGATGTTCCTTCAGATGTGAGTTCTTGGAGACGTTTATCTGGAGAAACTTCACCACCCAAATACTTGTAGTGCGAGTAGTTTTTACCAGTTTAGCACCTGGTCTTTTGGTTTTCACTTTTTCCTCTGTTCCCACTGCCAGAACTCTTCATCTGACAAACCATCTGGAGCAAGAAGCAAGTTCTTCCAAACAGTGATTTCTTTCATCTCGGGTAGATGAGTATCTGGTGGTTTTCAGTTGTACAGATGTTTCTCAGTGCAAGAAAGCAGTTCTTTCTAATGCAGGCACTTCTCTTGCTAGTGCTTAGTATGCACTGGGGAGCTGATCTAAGACAACGCTGATGTTTTAATTCTCTGGTTTGGGTTTGTGTACAATTGAGGATGATACATGTGGAAGAGCCAGAATACTGCCTTCCTTTATTCAAATGACAATTTAAAAAAAAAAAAAAACTGGTGATAATGTGCCCTATACAGGAGGGAAGATTTGATTGAGGGAAGATTGAAGGAGGGAAGATTTAGGTTGGATGTTAGGGGGAAGTTCTTTACTAGGAGAGTGGTTAGGCCCTGGAACGGGCTGCCCAGGGAGGTTGTGGATGCCCCGTCCTTGGACGTGTTTAAGGCCAGGTTGGACGGGGTCCTGGGCAACCTGATCTGAATGTGGATGTTTGGTGGCCCTGCTAGGCAGGGGGGTTGGAACTACATGATCCTTGAGGTCCCTTCCAACCCGGGTGATTCTGTGATTCTGTGATATACAAGGCTAGAAAGAATGAGGAGTGGAGTGGGATGTACGTGGTGCTACTGTTCTGCCAGCTAAAGATAGGGAGTAAAATGTGATACAGATGAGTGTGGAAAGATGTCAAGATGTGGCATCTCTTGTTCATTACAACAGCTTTTAGTAGGGCTGTGCTCTAACTTCCTGCTCTGAAATCAGCTGATAAGATAGGCAGCACATTTTTGGTTCTTGCTGTTTGACTGAAATCTCCCTGTACCTGAACAACACACTGGGACAGTTTATTTCTGGAACCAATCAGCATTCTTCCCTCGCAGTGTGCTCATCATGAAAGCAGGTCTTATTGGAGTGCCCATTACTGTGCACTTCTCAAACAAGAGCAGGTGAAGTCACCTCAGGTCTCTGAAACAAAAACACATAGGAAGTCTTTGAAAATCCTGAACTAGAATAAAAATGTCCAAGGGAATTTTTGCATGGGCGAAGGATTGCAAGCACCAGCATCAAAATTGTACTGAAGTTGCATTAAAAGAAATCTGTTGTAGTCAGATGATGTCTCTCTCGTCTTTGTTCTTGCATCTTAGATTTTCTAAAGATGATACTTAAGGACGGAGTAGCAGCAGCATTTGGGTAGGGAGAAGATCGCCTGATAAAGCTACGTGTTGTTTTAGGAGTTTTTAAAAATTATTTTTAAAGAATGCTTAATGTGAACTGCATCTTTCCATTGTAATCTCCTCCTCTGTTGTTCAATTAGTCATTCTAGGAGTGCACCCTTTCTCAGTGGGGGTACAGAATAAACTGCTGTACAGGCATAATGGAAGTCTTGCTTAGTGTGAAATCTCAGCTTTCGAAAGCGAGAAGGTGCTCCTAGACTTGGTGGCCAGCAGAGTGGTAGCAAGTAAGTAACAGTAACTGAGTTCTGTGCTGCCTTCTGTTGCTGTGTGCTTTTCAGCTTGAGATCCTACATGCTTGGAATGCTAACAAGTTACGTGCTTGTATTAATCATCTCTGTTCAAACATGTTGTATTTCTTAGGAAGCTCCCAGTTATGACTGAAAATATGTAGTACAGGGAAAAAACATACTTGAACTTTTTTATATATTAAAATGTGTATCATTCAGATGCTGAGCTGGACCTAGCCCTGGATACAGCTGTGTGTTGAGGCTGAGCTTTGTTCTTGAATAGGGGTGTAGAATAATTCACATGGATTCTCTGTTGGCAGCTGCTGAATCTGTTGGTAGGTGACAGTGTCTGAATTTATGAATCTTCTGTGCAATAGAAACTGCAGTATAGAAATATGTGATAGGACCTCCAGGGGGAAGCATAGGACAGGAAAGACCACACTGGTTTCTAGCAGAGCCAGACTTTCTGATACACAGAGCCTTTGCTTGTGATAGCAATAAATCTTTTCTGTACCAAATTGAGACTACATAATCTTCATCTTGAAGAATAACACTGTCAGGCTTTAATAGCAAAAGATTGGAAAGGACTCATTACTCATGGAGATAAGACTACCTGATGAAAAACGAGATGCGGTATGTGATTAAACACTTAGACCCTCTGCTAATTATATTCCTGGTTCAGTTCAGTCATTACAGCAATTCAGTGCAGGTGTGTGCTGTCTGGAAGAAGAGGAGTAATGGTAGAATTGAAAGAAGCAAAAGTCCAGAGCTGTGTAAAAAAAATAAAATAAAAATAATAATAATTTTTTTTATAAATTGCATAAATAAAACATCTTAGAAATGATACTTGTCTGCACAGCAATTGGAAATCAAGCTCCAAAAAACCCCTTTTTTTATTTCTTCAGTATGTAAGTGCCTGGTCCCTTTTATCTACTAATAATGTTTTAGCTTCTGTTCTCATCTTGTCTCACGTTACCCCAGAAGAATGTGCATGGTGCCATATGAACTGAGCAAGATGGTAAGTTAATCGTCTTTATACTTCAGAAGTTTGATTGCAGGCTTTTTTGGATACATTTCATTCCTGGTGTGGATACGGCAGGGTGCTGTACTGCACCACAGCATCAAGTGAAAGCATCCCACCAATGTTCTGAAATGTATGAAGAAATGAGAAAGAATGCATTTCCCCTGGGGGAATCCCAGCCTGCAGGAATGCTGTGATACTGAAGAGCTCAGGCAGCTCTGCAGCATGGAGCTGCTCTTCAGCTTCTGAATGATGCATCTCATCAACTGGGGTTCTAACAGGAGGGAAAGGGCTTCTGAGAGCACAGACATTGGTCACATCACAGCTTCTTGTGCTCTGTACCACATTCTTACCCTTATTAAAATAATACCCAGTATAATCAAACTATACTTCGCCAGTTACATCGAGGCTAATTTTGGCCTGGTGCTTTCAGCATTAGAGTAGCTCAGGCAGACTTCTTGATGGAAGTATTTTTGAGTGCTTTTTACAGTCCTGCACACAAATTTCAGTTGTATCCTGATGTAAGAAGTTTTAGCACCCCAGCACTGTGCTGTAGCAGATCATGTTGGCCTTGGGATGGCGGAGGATGGCTTTTCAATGTCTGCAGACTACATGGGGGAAAAAGAACACCAAAAAGGAACTGTCAAGTGGAGAAATGAGGGCACAGATCATAGGAATCTCTCTTTTCTTTTTGATATTATTGTTGTATTTTTAAATATACTTTTCTGAGTGTTTTCTAGGTTTCCTGGACTTAGGCTCTGTCCCTATCAACCTCTCATATGATTCATCGCGCACTGCAGTCAGAAGGCTTGACTTGCATTTCTCTTTTGCTTTAGAGCTAATTCTCCATGCCAACATTCACAACAACAAAATTGAGTAGGGAAGCGAATATTTCACTTTTTCTTGAGTTTCAGTTGAAGTGTTTAGGAAGTTGGACCTTGATTAGCTTTTGGTAGAGCTGAAATAGAGGAATAGTTACATAACTGCCCAGCTGTTTGTGAGAAAACACCTTGATTTGAAGTGACTCAGATGGCACCAGTGCCTTCTGAGAGGTGCCTGCTGCTTTGCAGGGCTCATGTGGAGTAATTGGGAGACTTCATAATACTGTGTGATTTTAAAAAAAATAAATAAATAAAGGGAGAGCAAAATAAAAATCAATCATGCTTTGCCTTAACAGATTCCAGTGTCTGCTTTTTGGTTGTTCTGTTTTCGTTTTTGTTTTTTGCATGATCTGTGTTGAGAGAAGAAGAAAACAAAAGAATAGCCCTGGTGTTTTGTTTATCCTTGATGTAGGGAAGAACTGCATAGTACTGCATCTTCTGGATAGAGAAGGGCAGGCATTTGGAAGCTGAAGGTTGATAAGATACAGTGCAACTTCTGTCTCTTGGCCTTTAGTGCCCTTTGCAGTGCTGGAAGTTTTGTTTTTGTTGCATGTTTCTCAGTTTCTCATTTTGGTGTTTTGATGGTATTCCAGATGGAAGTATTAGGGAGGGGGAAGACGAACATCTAGACTGGAGAAGAAAGTTAGTTAATTTATCGGACCCTAATACCTAGGAAGGAGGAGATGGGGTTCCTTCCATAATGATGTTCCTGTGGTGGGATGTAATGAAGGGAAGGGAGCAGGGATCCCTGAGTGGAGCTGCTGAGGTCCTCTTAAACCAAGCTGGTTTGTCATGCTCCAGGTCAGATAAATCTGTATTGTCAGGTTGTGCGCAGAAAGGTCTTAAGCTGTTTCCAGAGTAGATATGACCCTGAAAGCAATGGGTTCGTATACATCTTGTGCTGGATTCCTGAGGCCTGGCTCAGCACAGAGCTGATGCGTGGCTGACTTTATTCCTGCTCAGAGGACTGACTGTACGTGTTAAGGAGCACCTTGGAGATCTGATTCCCCTGAAGGAATGCTCACGTGGAGTAATGAATGTGCTTTCTGGAATTGCACAGTCACGAGGATTCTGACAGCAGTGACGTGCTCTAGAAGCATCAATGTCTGCTGGTTCTCCTATAGTTGTTAACTGCTTATTTTCAGTTGTCAAATCCTTTCATTCTGTCTCTTCTGTATACTGGCTCTCTTCTGAGTTCAGGTGGCTCCTGCTGCCACTCAGCACGTGCTGCATCAGGTGGGAAAGGTGGGCCTGGCATTCAGATTTGCAGCAGTTCCTCTGCCTGCAGCTCCTGCTTCATTCACAGATGTGCAAAGCCTGGCACACGTGGGGCCTTTCCAGTTTCTCTCATGAGCTCAGTGAAAGGGTGTTTCCTGCTCTTAGCAAAATCCTAACAAACCAAGAAATCAGCAGTCAAAACTACATAGCTTTGCTTGCAACTTTTCACCTCTTGATATTCTGTGGTCCTTTTCCATTTGGGCTTTGACCCTTTCCTTTTGAAATGGGCCTTCCAGCCTCCTAGTCGTGTTCACAAGAAGCGAAAGTGTGACAGTCCTTTCATTCCTTGCAGTGGGCTCCTGGTCACAAAACACCCTCTGGCAGTGCTCACTTGGCCTTGAGGTGGGGCTGCCTGGGCTGTGAGGTATTGCTGCACATCTGGGGTGTGCAGTGGTTCCTGATTCCTCTGCTCTGCTCAGGTCTTCACGTTTCTGAAGTGCAACCTTTAATGCTTCTGGTGACAGCTTCATCTTCCAGAACAGTGCAGGAGACAGCAGACAAGATGATATCAAAGCTTTTCGGGCGCTGGGGTATTGCACACTTGACTGGTTCATTGACATGGTATCAGTTTGGGTTTTTTTGTTTTGTTTTTAAATGCAAATTACACTTCTTGTGACCCAAGAATTCACTTAGTCTCGGATTTCAGCTTGTTCTGAGCAAGCTTTACAGCTTCATGCCTGCAGGCTGATGGTAGAAGTCCATCAACCATTGTTTCTTGCTGTTATTGTTGGTCAGATCCACTTGAGATGAGAGATTTTCTTCTAAATGTCTTAACCTCTGCTGAGCCGTGGCAGGACGATCAGCCTGGTTGTGTATGGCTGTGTGAGCCTTCATCTCCTTGCGGTTCAAGCAGTTGAGGTAGCTTCTGAATCTCAACATTCTTTGTTTTTCCCAAATTAGTTTGTGTTTCATCTCTGCTGCTTTTACCATTAGGTTTAGAAGATGCTCTCTGGGCAGTGCCTTTCTGGCACGTAGCATTGCCAAGGCTTGGGTAAGCAATGAGGAACTTTGTAGCCTGGTTGTTTGTCATTCCTCTGAATACACTGCATTCATTCCCATCTTTGCCTGTTCCTAGTAGGTTTATCTTTTTTCTGTGCTTAAAAAAAAATCCCAGTGTACAACAGGAGAAACTTAAAAAGAAAGCTTTATCACTGAAACTGAAGAATGGGGATATTTATTTACTTACACTGGACCAAATTGAAGACAAACTGATATTCAAGGACTAAAGTGTAAAATAGCCTAAATACCTTTGGCTGGAATATCCCATTTCTTTTAGTAAGCTGACGCAGTAACTTGGGTTACCTCTGCCTCCCTTGTTTCCATATTTAATCCTGTATTTTAATTTGTAGGTATTTGTGGAGATGGACACTGTTTATTTTGAAGAACTGCTCAAGATCTTTCCAAATATAACTCAGTAATTTGGGATATTTGATGGCTGTTGTGCTTCCTTTCAATTACCTTTGGCTTTATTCTCCCAGAGAGGCGGCAGAATAATCTTACACTTAGCTCAAGTGGCATTTTCCTTAAACTGCCTGTGTATTTGACAGTTGATTAGCTATTGATATAGTATTATTACTGGAAATCTCCATAAAACTCATCACATTAATGAGAAGGACGGCCCAGTCTTTGCTGGGATTTTTGTGTCTGTTTTGTACACGTTATTTTTAAGGAGAGATCACATTTCTGCATTCGTATCTGCTAACCTCCCACTTCTTTTCCTTGGTGTAGGACTGGAGGGCCTGAACTCTGCTGCAGCGGCTTTCTCCCCTTTAAAGTGTAATGATCTCAACTCTGGTCTGTTTTTAGATGCTGAAGGACAGAGACTGTGATGAGCACTAACAGCGATGTGCAACGTGAACTGATGGCAGGTATTCATATCTAGTCCTCGTAGTCTGAGATAAATATGGAAGCCATAGGTGCAGAGTGACTTCTGTGGATTCCTCTGTTCTGGACGAATATTTCAGTGTTGATAGAAACATTTGTTTCCATAGCGTGTCCAAGAGCTGTTCTGCAGTGGAGAAGGTAAGTTCATACGTGTGGGCAGGGGGTGGACAACCAAACCCTTAATCTGTTCTGATTTTTTTTTTTTCTCTGACCCAGTCCTTAGAGTTTTATTGGACAGATGTTGGACTGATCAGACAGCTGCTGAAACCATGAAGAATTGGGGCATATTTTTATCACTGGGGAGGAAAAGAGATACCTAAGATTTTTAGCCTTTCCACGATGCTCTCAGACGCGTTGTTGAATTTTAGGGTGTTTCTGTATGGATCCAGATTGCAATATGCTGTAATTATATTTGTTGTCTTTTGAAACACAGACTCAGGTGCAGTTCAGTGTCATTCTCTGTTCATTTTCCTGATTGAGGATTACTGTCTCTGCAGTGCTTGTTGCTTGAAACTATTCCGTTGCCAGTGTTTATTTCTGTTTTACAAGTTCAGCTGGGTCCTCTTTGCTTTATGGTGAGGGACTGCTGCTGGCTATTAGCTGTGCTTTAAAGACAAACATTCCTATTTTCATTCAAGTTCAGATTGTGTTTGCTCTGAAACCCAGTGGAAGTGTTAGCTGTGTCTCAGCTCCCTGATTTGGGTTGATAGGACTTGCCTGTGAATCTTGTTCTGACAGATCATTACCTCCCTGGACTCCTTCCTTAGCTAACTTATCAAAGAATTCAGGTACGCTTTGCTAGGTAAAACTGTGTGTAGACAGCAGGGATTTGTTGTTCATGGGAGGAGGGAGGGGGGAGGAATTCATAGCATGGAAACATGAAATCTGAATCAGTTTGAATTTAAAAATAAACATCTAGGAGATTCAGTATCTTAATGCTGTGGGTTGGAAGAATGCTGGAGAAGCTCTTGAATATGAGATTTTTTTTTTTAAAGTGTCAATAAAATTGTGTGCAATCTGTGCTATTGCAGTAAATAGAAACTGTACCATGGATTAGCTCATCTTCCAGAAGAACCCCAGCATCTGCCTGCCGTGGCAAGTGATCTGAGGAGCTCCAGGTGGGTGTGCTACATGTGTATCGAGTCTTCTCTCTAGACAGTGTACTCTATGAACTGCACATGCATTGTATAATTGTTTCCTACCTGGTCCTTTTGTAATGTCCATTTGTTTGTTTGTTTTTCAAATAAACATCTTTTGAAGTCATTACTTTGTGGGTGTTTTCCAAGGGTCTGAGTGTTCTCTTGTGTTGCTAGTCCTAGCTGATGTATTTATTCTCTTTGGATCAAACAGGGAAAAGGAGCAGAGAAAGTCATAATTGCTTCAGTTGGGTGCAATTTTATTTTAAGCTGCCGTGGCAAAATGCAAACCCTTCTTTCTAAAGACTTTCTGTTTCGAGTATTTTTTTGGAGAGCCCTTAGCAGAGGGAACATAATTCTAAGCAAACCTGAAGAAACTTCTCACAACACAAAATTTATTCTGAATTTACATTTGGAAAGCAGTGATCAATTAGAGCTTAGCATCTTGTGACTCTACTCTCCTGTGAAATACTGAATCCTGTGGGAACCTTCAGCTGTATGAAGTGGAGTAGCCCTGCACTTGCAGGAATAATAAAGGTTTGGCTTAATCTTGGCTCATTAGGTCCCCTCACCTGGGAGCAATGAGAAGAGCAGAACACACCCAGTGGTCTTTAACACCTCGCTGTCTTTGAAGTCTTCCATTGGATTTCTTTTTTTCAGGCATTAGGGGGTAAAGGTGCCCTGTGTGCTGCCATGGGTGCTGATCTGTGTGTGCATTTATGTATTTACTGAGGAATTCCTTTCTAGAAAAGTATTCAGGCATGTCATGTTGTTCAGCCTGGCTTCGTTTTTCATTTCATATCTGCAGTCATTTCCAGAATCACTCTGATGCTCTTTTTTCCCCTATGCTTATTCCTTTTCACATGCTATGTGCCAGTCCTGCTGAGCAGCAAGTGCTTTCTAATAAACAGCTACCACAGATGCTGGCACAAGACTGTTTTGGAGACCTGACCATGAAAGCAGAATTACAGTTAATCCTGTACCAAACTTGTTAAGCAAATGAAATGAAATAAAATCCAGATGTTCTGAATTTTGGCTCAGCTCCGTCTTCAAACAAACACATCTTTGTGACCCCCTGGATTGAAAACAAGGTGACCTCACGTGGGCAGGGAGGGGGGATGGTGAGATGGACAGTTACATTCAGCCCAAATGAAGTGACCAATTGCTGAAACATTTTAGGTTGTATCTTGTAATGTGAATGTCACTTAGGGTTGGGAAGGGTCTGCTTTTCACAGAGCCTGGTGGGATCACTAGGAAAGCAGAGATGAGGAGCCGTGCGCTGCCCTTTGAGCCACAGGAGCACGGTTGAACACACTGTACATTTATGATGGATGGCGTGAATTCCTGCTCTTTCCAGTGTGACCCGTGAGCTGGTAGAGCATCTCATGTGTGAAGTGCTTTTCAAGAAAGGGCTGAGAGAATGCATTCAGTGTGCAACTCCTCCCTTGATCTTGTTGCACTGCAGCAATGAGAAAGCTGGGAATGATTCTTAGCACCGTGGGCCATAGGCTGATGGTGTTGTCAAGTTTCTGCTACATTTTAAGGAATGAAGGCACCTACCTCCTACTGCTGGACAGGCTTTAATGCATGTGGTCTCAGTTCTTTTTTTTTCCTTCTGGCAGTTCAGCTTTATCAGAATGTAGCCAAAATTCTTAATAATGTGTAGCTCCCGCTTCTTGAAAGCCATCAACCTTCTGAGTCTGTTTCTTACAGCTCTTTGCAGGACCTCTTGCTTCCATCTGCTGCATTAAATTGAAATGTGTTTTCTGTCACATTTTTACTTATTTGCTTAACTGAAATGCGTATCGGTGAGGCAGATGTGTTAAAGATGTGCGTAAGGAAGCATGGATTCGTTGGTCTGTCCTCTTCCAGGGTCCAATCATTTCCTTTTTAGGATTTGAACTCAAGTCAGAACGCAGAAGCCAAGTATTTGTCAGCTTTCCTTCTTAGGAGGAGGATTCCACTTAGACAAGAAAATGTGAGGCAGTGTGGGAGTCTCACTGCTGCAAAGATGGCACCTAGGCAGGGTGCAGCTCGTTCTGCACAGTGTGCTCACGTGCAAGGAGAAATGGGGCAGTGAGCACTCAGGTCACACTGGCAGCAGTGCTGAGGTTCTGCTCCTTTTCACATTGGAGGGGATTTGCAATGGAATCAGGAAAATTACTGTTAAAACTCATTACTCTTGCTTTTTCCTGGCCTCTGCTGCTTTTCATGATCAGACTGAGCCCAGATTTGTTGCTGATGTTTAGTGATTATTTTTGTGGATGCTGTCTAGCAATCTTCAGGGTTGCTGACAAAAGAGCTTGTGTCTGGATTATTGTGGCCACGCTGAGTTACACTGATGGTGTGTGGATCTGGTGTACTTCTTGTTTAGAAGTACATCCTGTGACCACTCTCATTGCTTCAGACCTCACTGTTTCTGCTTTCTGATACCTGTTGCTTTTTCCTATACTCTTTCCCTTATGCAGCTTTTCTGCCTTGTGATGTAGCTCTTTCCATGCTGTTTCCTGAGCTAGATGCACAGTTTTCCTTCTGAATATTGGGATAAAATGATGGTGGTGATAATAAAATCTCTTAGGTCGTGACCTTCCTGGACATACAAAACATAGAACCATAGAACGGCTTAGGTTGGAAGGGACCTTAGAGGTTGATTTCCTGCTGCCTGCCGTGGGCTGGGTGCCCCCACTAAGCCATGCTGCCCAGGGCCACCCATGGGCCCAGGCACCTCCAGAGATGGGGCACCCACAGCTCTGGGCAGCAGTGTTGGTGCCTCACCGCCCTGAGTGAAGAATTTGCTTCTCACATCTAACTTGAATTTCAAAGCTTGTGAATTGGAATGTACATTTACATTTGTACATTTACATTTGAAGTTGATTCCTTAACCTCAGATACCAGAAAATGGAAATTCTGGGGCTGTAGGTTCTGTCCTACCCTGTTGTTGCACAAAGTGCTGCTCAAGGTTTTGAAAGTGGAGGAGTATAAACAGGATGCCTCATCCTTGGAGACATTCAAGGTCAGGCTGGACCAGGCTCTGAGCTCCTGGTGGAGGTGTGGGTGTCCTGGTTCATTGAGGGGTGAGTTGGATCAGATGAACTTTAAAAGTGCCCTCCAATTCAGAAGATTCTATGATTAGCAGGCAATATTGGTGCAAATTGTACGGTTGGGCTCAATCTTAGAGGTCTTTGCCAGCATTAATGATGCTGTGATTATCGCTCCATGAGGTTTTAAAAACAAACAAACCAAGGCAATGGAAGATCTGACTTGCAGCTTCCTTCAGCACATTCACTGTCTGTGCTACTGTATCTTCTGCACTACAGTATCAGGAGCTACCAACCTGTCAGCCCCACCTTTCTGCTGGGTAGGATCATACAACAGAGCCTCCTGGAAGCTGTGCTGAGGCACATGGAAGAGAGAGATGTCATACAAAAGAACCTGCATAGCTTCACCAAGAGCAGATCCTCCCTGACCAACCTGGTGGCTTTCTGTGATGGTGTAACTGCATCCTGAACAAGGGAAGAGCCACTGATGTCATCTGTCTTGACTTCAGTGAGGCCTTTGGCACAGTACCCATAATATCCTTCTCTCTAAGTTGGACAGATAGGGTTTTGATGGGCGGACCGTTTGATGGATGAGGAATGGATCACAAGATAACACCCAGGGATTGGTGGTCAGTGGCTCAGTATGAGGATGGAGATCAGTGACAGTAGAGCTCTGTGGGGTCAGAACTGGGACCTTTCATATCAGTGGCAGTGGAATTGAGTGCACCCTCAGCAGTGTGCGGATGACACCAAGCTGTGTGGTGTGGTCAATGTGCCTGAGGGATGAGATGCCATCCAGAGAGACCCAGACAGCTGAGCAGTGGGTCAAGGAGAACACTGAGGTTGTGAAGTTCCACAAAGCCAAGAGCAAGGGAGTTGGACTGGATGGCCTTTAAAGGTCCCTTCCAAATCAAATGATTCTGGGATTCTATGGGAGAGGGGCTTGAATGCCTGACAGATGGCACTGATAGATCACAAGAAGGGTTGATGCTTTGGTAACGTAGGCAGCCTGTACCAGAAGGATGGACTGCTGCTGGCATTTCATGATGTCCTTAGTGAGCTTTTCTATTTGAAGAATGGGAAAAAGAAAACCACGTTAGGGAAGTTCTGTGTCCCTTACAAGAGACAGGATTGGGGATGGAGAAGGTCTTGGCAATTGGGATAGGTAATACACAAATGAGTTTTCTGAGGGTGCTGGGTTGTGAGGATGAGAGCTGGGCTGAAGGCTTGGAATTCTGAGCATCTGGGCAACAAAAAGGCATTGTGCCAGACAGGAAAACCACCTCGGTGTATGAGACAGCAGGGTTGGTACAGGCTGTTTGCTGGTCAGCACTGAGAGCTTGCAGCTCTAGGACAGGGGATTCAGTGCAGACAGAAGCCTGGTGCTCAGGAGTGACTGAAAGGCATTTGGGTATTGCACCACTGAAAAGGAACAGAAGAAAACAACTTGCACTTTTCGTTGAAGTTTTTGCTTTTTCTTTCTCCAAATTTACTGTGGTTAGCTGAGCAAATGTACCTGTGTGTATGCAGACCTCTGCCTGCCTGTAACTTGTAAATAGCTTCAGAACAGCTACAAAGACACACACACTTGATCTTCATTGCACCTGGTGTGTGGAGCTCACTGCTGGTGTAATTTCCCTGATTAATTGGAAGTTAACTGCTGACAGTGCCTGGATGCTGACACCGTAACGAATGCACACGGTGGTTTGTGCAGAGAGGTCTGTGTGTGTGCAGAAACTGAAGCGCACTGCTTGGTCTTCACTGAGCTCTGCTGTTCCCTTTGTGCAGCCATTCATGTCTGGGTGACAGCTCCTCTCCCCGAGCATTATCTGCCGTGATGATCTGTCTGGCAGGGCTGCTGTAATTGCCTCCCACACTTCAGTTTTTCTCCCTGATTCCCTCCTACTCTGATGCCTGCAGTGCACTCGAGGCAGAAGGTCCTGACACTGAAGTTCTGTGAATATCTCTGGTTGCTGTGCCCTGATGGGACCCCGTGGCACTGCCTGCCTTTGGCTTCCCCTCTCCAGTGTGTGCTGGGGCTCCTTGTACCCCTGTGCAAGCTGGGGTTACCTCCCACAGGGCACAGAGT